CCTATGGACAGGTGGTAGATCGGGGACTATTTCTTGTAGTGGCAAACAGCGTCTCGATGGGCGGAACAAGACAACTCGATACTTCGAATTTCCTGTTGGTGTTTGTGGTCTTGTTGATGGGGGATTGGCGTTTTGGATAATGACTCCTCTGTAGAAACAGTACCAGGGTATACGTGGAATGACTGGAATTCTCTGGAATAGCAATCACTGGTATTCGCGCGTTGGCTTGGAGGGATCTTTGTGGGGATGTAACTTTTTGAATATAGCTCTGATTGACTTACTTCCAAGCACAATAGTGCTTGTCTTGATGAGCTTGACACAGAGATGATATTTGTTTATGCTTTTGTTGGTTTGGTTAGTAATCTGTATTTTGTAGTGACAGATCAGTGGCGGGGCTCCACTTGGTTTCGGTCCCGCTTGGAAAAGTACATCATCAACCTAGTATGACTAGAGCGGTCATTGAGAACCCTGTCTCAATGACTATTCACGAGAGACTCAGTCATGAGTCGAACTCAAACCCTATCTAGGATCGAGTCGCGAATAAGGCTAAGAGCCGTGTATTGCAAATCCTTCATGGTAGCATGCGGAAGTTACTCAGCACGTAACCTCTGCACAAGAATACTATTTAGAACGCCAAAATTGCCGACGAAGCAATCAGACGCAGCCAAGCAGCAAGAGAAGCTGCAGAGCAAGGAGCGGAACGGCTGACAAGAGCAGAAAGGGACGAGAGAGCCAGACGGAGAGCGGACGCTAGAGCACAAGAGCAAAGCAACATTATGACGGCACAACTGAGCTCAGAGCAGATCAGGACGCTCATTACGGAAACAGTAACAGCAGCATTGCAAGCACAGTTACAAGCAACAGCACAGGCCCAAGCGCAACAAGGGCAGCAGCAACAACAAGGACAACAACCGGCGACCGCACCAACATTCAGCATGGCTCCCGGAGGAGGCGATCAAACCAAGGCTTGGGATTTCGCATCAGATAAAGGCATGAAATTCTATTCTCAGGCAACGAAAGCCTCTGACATTAAATACGATGGAAGTAGTGAAAAGCTCCATCAATTTCTTAATTTTATTAAAGTGAGAGCATCTACATTTGGAATGATGATAGTACTTGACAAGGTAGCTGTTGACAACAACAAAACCAGATCTGTGATCACCGAATACGGTTCGATCTCGCACGAGCAGATGAAGACGCACGCAGAAACTTATCAGGCCGAAGACAACAGGAAGCGTCAAGCATCCGGCATGTTGGTCACACTGATCTCTAATTCCGTCTTGCCCGACGTATTTGATGAACTAATGCAAAGGGAAGACAAATACACGGTCAAAGTGACACCCACAGGAACGACCAATGCGGTAGCACGAGAAGACGGGGCCATGATGCTCTATCAACTCATAGCGATGGTATGCGTGGACACCAAAGCTACAGTGTCTAGTATCCTACGGATGCTCACAGGTCCAATCCTTGCGCAGGCAATGACATCAACAACCTAGTCATGTCACTCAGGGCGCGGCAAGCAACCATTCCCGACTTGGTGCCTCCGCTCTTCGAAGCATATAGAGCGTGCGAAGATAATGTCTTTGCCTCGTATATGACACGCAAGGAAGAACAATATGAAGATGGGACTGTGACTGGTCTGGAGCACCCAGAGCTTAATGGTTTGGCAGCGGAAAAGTACAAGGTCATCTCCAGTAAGAAGGAATGGAAGAAGAAATCAAAGCAAGAACTCGAATTCATCGCGATGAAGGCAGAACTCGAACAACACAAGAAGAAACAGCTCACCCAGCAACCCATCTCGGATGCACGCAAAGGCCAAAGCAGAGAGGGTCGACAAGGAGGACCGATCAACACAGGAGAATGGGCATGGAAGTCCATTGCTCCGAAGGAAGGAGAAGCTACGGAAAAGAAATTTAAGGGCAAGAAGTATATTTACTGCCCTCATCATGGAGAGACCAAATGGGTGCTCAAGGTCAACCGACAGGGACTTGTTCACGCCACCAGCTGCAAGGCCAGGAAGGAGAAAGAGACTGCAGCTGCGTCTTTGACAGCCACAACCGACACCGATCAACAATACGCCGACGCACTATCCTCGGTGATCGAAGACGAAAACATCAACAAACCTGTACAACAATGAGTGCGAACGAGGTTAGCTTCGTGTGCACGTGCCTTGATTCCCTTTTGTGTCAATAAGACACTAATAGCGATCATCGTGATCACGAACCTCATTGCTTCAGTAGAATCGGAAGTTAGAGATAATTACGTAACCCATTTTCCTTTATTGCTTGCAATGACGCTACTACACGCAGCACAAAGCGTGTTTCGGCTGACAAGAGCAATAGCCAGACCATGGATGGGAATAGCCGGATTCGCTGCACATATCATGATGATACAGATGTGCGCCGCAGTGATCATCTCGGCACAGTTCCTAATTGAGGCCATGCCATGGATCATGCTCGACCATGAGTTTGTGTCCTCACGGAGCCTCACGGCGCTCCTAGTCAGGGGTACTTTGGTTGCAGTGCTTCACGTGACAACACCACCAGAATATGTTCCGAAGAGCAAAAGATGGAGAGCTACCATCAAGAGAGCATGGCACGGTACACTGACAGCAAGAAATAACGCGACAAGCGGCGTCAAGCGCGTGATCAACATGAGCACTCACAAGCTAACGTCAATGCCAACCGATCTGAGAAGACATTGGGAGGACGAGAAAAGGTGGAGGCAAGCCGTCTCCGGAATCAATGACACGAGCAAGAGCAAGACAAACAAGAACAGAATATTCAAGGCATTAGTCATAGGGATAATGACAACAGGCAGCGAGGCGATAAGAGCAACCGAAGATCAGCACACGGCCACCGCACTTCACACAGTAATCGAAGCCTACAAAAGCACAATGACGACGTCGAGCGAACCAGCACAACACACCTACGACACAGACTCCTACGTAATCGCGATAGACAATTGCTCTTCCGGAGCATCACGAACTCGATGAGCGACTTCATAGAGCCGCCCGTCCGGATCAACGTCAAATAAAAGGAATAGCCGGTTTCGGCGCAGCCACGTACAAGGGCACAGTACGTTGGCGTATCCTGGACGACGCAGGAGTAGCTCACAACTGGGATATTCCGGACACGTATTACCAACAATCAGCACCCTACCGGCTGCTTTCGCCACAACACTGGGCACAATCGCGAGACGAAGGGATAGGAACCAAGTGCACTACGTATCACCACGCGGTTGAGATGTTTTGGCACCAGTGCAAGTACGTGAAGACCGTACCACTCGACGGGGCCACCAACATTGCGTCGATGCGCACGTCACCGTCTTACGGCAAGTTACACGCCTTCTGCGCCAAGGTTTCCGAAATCAACAATGGGTGTTGGAGGAAACATACCTGACACCTCTTTACTATTGACTCGTGTATTAATCATCTAGTCCGTTCGCATGTAAATTGATCATGCAAGAACCAAGGGAGTTTTAGGTCTAAAGTGTTGCGGGGGTCCCTTATATCCAATTAATCACAAGAAAATTGCTATGCACCACCAGAAATCACTCACTTTTGTCTTTTCAGCTTATCTAAAACCAAATTACTCCCCAATAAGCTGCAGTGATTACTACAAACACACTGAAAAGCAAAAGTCTCATCTCGAGTTACTAAGCAAGATCAACCATCTCGAGATTGATATCACCAAGTTGATCCAAGACTATCAAGATCAAAGTGTATTAATTGAGTTAACACCTGCCACAGAGGAAAGAGGTTGCGCAGAATCATGCCTCTGCTACACTATAAAGAACCAAAAGGGCTTTTCCCTAACAGGAAAGAGGTGCTTGCGCGGGATTACCCATCTTCAAGCAGAAAATCAAGGTACGAGATCGTCTAACAGTTTCCGGCCGGAACTGTGTATCTGAAGATACCATGGAAAAGAGCACGGTGAACTAAACAGGTTACGTGCTGGAAACAAGGAAAACCGTCTGTTATCCAGTGATTATCTTCAAATCGCGCAAATCAGGAGAGTTCGATAACGTCACATCACGACGAGCGAAAGTCAACAGTTGCCGATCTACCTATCGTACTGTTGTGGACGTTGCAATGCATCTGACACGATAGAGAGGAAGTTGAGCAACACGACGACAGAGCTGCGGCTATCCTTGGAAGCGACTAACTCCCGATATTGTAGTGAGATAGGTTGATCTAGTATTTCCTTGCTATTGTGACGTGAAACCACAAGATCCCGGTAACAACTCGGAGATCTGAAACATCAACGAGAGAGTTGTTCAAGCTATTGAAACACACACAGTGCACTCATACCAACATACTCAAGACCATCTGCAAGCTGCAGAGTGCATACGAAGAGCCAACAGAGGCAGTTAGCTACTACCCAAGGTTCCACAAGAAGATACCACGTTTTACGTGAGCTTCAAAGACAGAGGCTATCCAGCCACAAACGAGGTGCACCAAAGTGACCAAAAAGAAGGCTATCCAGCCAACAGGCTTTTACAGGCAACTACACGAGTAGTGCCCGTCGTTAGAATCCTTCCTGCAGGAGTAACCACAAAGAACAGTTCCACGAGCAACACAAGCTAGTTCCAAGGGAACAAGCAAGCACAAAAGTGCATTACCACACCAACAGGCAACTATGAGATTCCAATGAAGAGGTGGTCGTGGTGAGGAAGTACCCTTCTAGGGGGGTTAGGGGATTCAATTCCTCAGGAAGAAGCCATCAAGGAAGAGGCAACAGCTACAGAACCGAGAACAAGAGTTCCAAGCGTCAGTTCTTCTTCCATCAAATGGACAGGCTGACACCAGGTATTATCCTTTTGAGGAGACCCTGACACACATTGTGCCAGGACCTAAGGATCAAGACCTGGTGAATGATGTGCCTCTGGGCTTCATTGGCCATTGAAGACCATGAAGAGTCAGGCGCCATCCAGGCCGGACAAGCCGGACACTACCAGGCATCACTTGCTGATCCTCAAAGTGCAAGAGTACGATTCTTTGGAACTCAGGTAAGTTACAAGGCAAAGTCATCCATCTACGACAAGTCACTCGATCTATGAGAACATTCTCAAGATGGTGCAACCACCATACAGGGCAGAACTGTACCGAAGCAATGAGGTCCAAGTTGAGAGGCTCCCAACTATGAGGATGCAGTCAAGCTCGACCCCATTTGTGATGCTCCAGCAGGATCCGTTGTTGATAGTATGCAAGGCTCTACAAAAGAGTTCCCATTACTATCAATACTATCAAGACCATCCACGTGCTTGTTCCCAAAGCAAGGAGAACCATGACAGAGCTTGACTACTACTTGATGAAGGTCGACAGCGACGTCGATCAAGTCTATGATCTTCGGACGGCGTTCATTGATGTCAGGACATGCTCTGGACTAGACATACAGGCCGCATCTGGACAAGACGCCAAAGACAAGGTGTTCTTGCGGGACAAGCAAGGTTGAAAGCAACCGTGGCTACCATGGACTACAAGAAGGGCAGATAGGAGATTAACAGAAGACAGTTGAGGCAAGCTATGCATGAACGGTACCACACAGTTCCCTGATACCACTTGATCATCTCAGAGAGATGCTGTCCAATGACAGATTCAAGCCCAGCAAGGAATGGTTGGACAACGGAAGGCCAAGGACCGGAAGCCATATTCCAATCCCAGAGCCAACCTCCTTTTGATCCCAAGAAGATGAAGGAGAAGGCTCCCAGCTGA